GCAGGACAGAGTACATGGCTATTATTGCCTGAATTGTGTGTACTGGTGGTGATTTATAAAGTAGTGCAACTTTGTCTTTGCTTATTTGATTTAATTAAATTCTCAATAGTGGATGGGCCAGCAGGCGGTGTGGTGATTAAGGCACTGGACTCCCACATGGCCGACCTCAGTTTGAGTCCTGAACCCAACAGCTTGAAAATCACGCCAGGTACATGTGCGTGAATGCCCCAAATCCCAAGAGGATAATGGAGAAGAAGAGACTGTGGCATGACTGTCCCCCATGAAAGTGACTTCCCTCTCCCTCTCTCTGCCTCTCTCCAGCAAATGCACACATTGTATGGTGAAAACCTAAAAAAATAAAAAAAAAAAATTATTAATGGTGGGCTAGAATGAATTGTTTATCAGTCGCCATAGTTTGTCCAGGTCAGCATCCCAGACCACAGATTTCAGTGTTGAGCCGTTGCTGATTACTCAGGAACTGAGTATTGATTTTATTCATTGTTCTTCGTGCCCTACAAAGGGAATTGAGGAGAAGGATGAGGTAGAGCATCAGTAAGTCAAGCGGTTATCTCTTGGCCATTTTGATGTTATTTTTTTGGTGGGTATGACATAGGAATAGTACAAATTGATCAGAGAATTCTTTGGTTATTTGTCATTCAGGTTTATTTTACTTTTTATATTGGGTCATCAGAAAAGTCGTGACATATTTTTTCTATGTAAAAATGCATCATGACTTCTCCGACAACCCAATACAATCAAAGAGTATGTATCATTGCAGCGTACAAAATGAATCTGCCCAGCATGAATACACTATTAGTCCAGTCAGAGATATTATCACACACGTTATCAACAGATAATTTTCCTTTTTTAATAGATTTACTTTCATTCTTCCATCCCAAATCAAACCGAAGGCAGGTGTTTTTTGTTTTTTTTTTTTTTGGAGAGGTTTTCGCCATAGGGCGCATGTGCTCGCCAGACAGACAGAGTCATAGGGACAGAAAGTGAGAAGTCACCCCCCAGGGGGGATGGTCACACCACAGTCCCTTCTCCTCCATTCTCCTCTCGGGATCTTGGGCACACACGCACACGCGCCCGGCGTTTTAAGCCACCGGGTCCGGGACGCGAACCACGGTTCACTACGTGGGAGTCCAGCGACATAGCCATTACACTAACTGCTGGTTCCCTCGAAGGCAGGTTTTTCAACCCAGGATAGAAATCAAAGATGACCTGGCCAGAAGTTACAACGTGCTAGCTCCCGGCGATGTGTCTGATACTGTTTTTGCTCGGGCGTCTGTTTTACTGGAAGAAGTGGCAGGCAGACTCAGAGGAGTTCAGGGCCTTCCCAGATGGAGGGGCGTTAAAGTGAGACACAGTACGCGGTAAGAGTAGCTGTTAGCACACTCCAGTCCTGGGGCTTACCTCGCGAGCTCAGAAGGTTTTTACATTTTAAATGACTGGTGGAGCAACCCAAAGATGACAACTGTTTCCTAACAGATGACCGTGAGATGAAAGTCCCATTTCAGGGCCCCTACGGACAAAGCCAAGGCCCGTGCCCACTCAGGTACTTCCTCTCTGTGGCTGTCTTCGCACCGTGACAGCAAAGTCACTAAGCAACGGCAATCGAATCTTTGAGGCTTCCAAAGCTGCACATAGTTACTCTCTGACTCTCTGAGAAGTTTGCTGTAGCTCCTGGTCAAAAGGATCAGAAGGAAAAACACTTTTTGTTCACTCTTAGCAACTTGTTCCCTTATGTTCCTGGCTACCTAAAATTCTGCTTACCCCTTCTTACCTCTGCCTTGTTGGCCATGGTGTAGAAAACCAATCTGGTTACCCCATCTGTCAGGCGTCCCGACTACCAGCTTCACATGAGAAGTGCTTGCCTCCTTGAAAGTCTTGGAAGGCGTGCTAAGGGATAGTCATCCACCCACCCATCCAGCCAGCCACCCACCCTCTCAGCCACTCACCCACCCATCCATCCACCCATGTACTCATTTAACAACCCTTTTCAAGAGCCTGTTGCTTAGCGAGAGCATTGCTGGGGCCTCTAGGAAGTATAATACGTCATTGATTAAAACAGAGAGGCCTGCCTTCCTGGATCTTACATTCTAGCAGGGAAGACAGACCTTAAATAATTTGGCAGCAGTACCGTCCGTTCATTGGATGGGGCTAGCTGACTCTACTGAGTTCTTGAGAGCACTGGAAATTCACTCAAAAGAGAATTTCAGTGTTAGAAACTAGGGGCCAAGCCGAAACTGATTGAATCTGGTAGTTATTCAGTCAGAAGAAACAGACAAGAAAATGTCAGCCGTGTTAGTACTTAAAGAACTCCTGCTCTGAGCTACAGAAAAGCCCTTGTCGAGGACTAGACCGAGAGACTCTGTGATACACACAGAGCGAGGGCATCGGGGGCATTTGGGACAAGGCACACTCACAATCGAAGCTCCGTTCCTTTTAGACTGCGGTTTTCCCTGAATCTCAGCACTTCCACGTTTGTGCAGTCACATCTGTGGCTCTGTGTACCCATGACTGGAAATGTCATTTTTTATGTACTTAGCCAGCGGTCACTGTGCCCATAGAACTTGGGGTATTGGGGAGCTCAGGTTGTTGCAGCAGGAAAAATATCTTGAGATGTGTTTGTGCCTTTTTTTTTTTTCTTGGGAGGTTTTTGCTATAGGGCACATGCACTCGCCAGAAAGACAGAGAGGGACAGAAAGCGAGAAATCACCCCCCCAAGGGGTATGGCCATGTCACAATCCTTTCTCCTCCATTCTTCTCTCGGGATCTTGGGCACACATGCAAACGTGCCTGGTGTGAGATTAAGGCACCAGGCCTGGAGCTTGAACTGCGGTCGACTACGTGGGAGTCCAGCGACATAGCCATTACACTAACTGCGGGTCCCTGTTTGTGCCTTTTCATCTCCCTTCCCATTGCTATCATCCCCCACTCTCCCAGCTGCAGACTGGCACGTCACCTCCTGTGGACAGGATGCCCTGCACATGACTGTCCCAAGGGCTAGTTCTTTTCTCTTAAAGAAAGCATTTCCCAGTCCAGGAAGTACCTGAATCTCCTAATGTCTCAGTGTCTGTTACAAAATGAACTCTGATTAACTTGAATCTGGAAAACGTTTGTACCGCTCAGCACTGCAGGAGAGCGTGATTGAGGTCCGTGCGATTCCCCGGGAGTGATTGCTGCATTAGAGTAAGAGGAGAAATGTCCCTCTGCCACCCAGACTCCACGGCCTCTCCGCAGAGAGAGACTTAAGCCTCTGATGTTTATATCTGGTGGAAAGGCCACACATGTGCCCCCACTGTAAAAACAAACCCAGGAAGCACAAATTGAATCTTAACAGCATCTACATCGATGGTTTCATTATGTCTGAACTGGAGGATCTTCATAAAAGGATTGCACAGGAGGATTCAGAGG